GATGGATAGAGGCCAATCTACAGGCACTAAGAATACTGAAACGAAAAGAAAAATTGTAAAAGATAAATCTGAGGAATATTTTAAGAGGAAATTACTGGAGTTAAAAAATAATAAGCATATAATGAAAGGTTTAGCTACTTAAGTGTAAAAGCTTTGGAATTTCCAAGACTAGGCAGGCTTACACTATTGGAGAAAACCCTATATTACCAGATAGATATTGTTTTAACATTATTCCACGAAAAAGCAGCAAATGAAGTTAATAATATTCTATTATCAAATAATACATTAAGTCAACAAATTCATAAAATGGCAAATTCGATAAAATAGACACTTATTACAGTATTTCGCATTGTAGTTGGATGAAAGTACTGATATAACAAACTTTGCTCAATTGTTAGTTTACATATGTTTTGAAGAAGATAAATGAATAGCTGAAGAGTATTTATTTTGTGAATACCTTCATGATAAAGCAATTGCAAATAAAATTTTCAAAGTAATTGACAACTGTATGTCTGAGAATGATATTACTTGGAATAAGTGCATTACCATATGCCGTGATGGAGCTTGGGCTTTAAAAAGAAAACATTCTGGTGTTATTTCTCAAATAAAGAAAGTCGCACTTGAAACTAAATTTACTCACTGCTGCATTTGTCATGAAGCTTTAGTAGTCCAAACAATCCTTGAAAACATTTTGAATCAAGCTGTGAAAAGTTTTAATTTTATTCAAAGCCGAGCTTAAAAATATTTACGATTTTACACCAAAGATGGGCATTGAACATGAAACACTTTTCTTACATTCTGAAGCAAAGTGGTTATCCAGAGGCAAAGTTCTAAATCATCTTTTTGAACTTAATCAGAAATTCAAATTTTCCTCTGTGATTCAAACTTTGAATTGCAAGAATGTTTATTTAGTGAGTATGGTTGTAGTGTTTGGCATATTTAGGTGATATTTTTGGAAAATTAAATGAATTAAATTTAGGATTACAAGGAGTTAATTTGTTTACCATTAGAGATAAAAAAAAAAAAAAAAAAAAAACTTGACCTAATAATTAAAGAATTTGATAAAAAAAAAATCTGAAGGCCTTCAGATTTTATATTACGCCAAAAAGGGCCTTTTTTTAACAGTTTAGTGTTATCTTTATTTATTAAATATCATGTTCTTCACACGTAAACCACATAAAATTCAATTTAACAGCAATATCACAAAATATTTAAAAGAAGCATATCTTTTAGAATTTCTGATAGACAGAGTCTCGTGCGCTAAAGATTAAAAGTTTTTTTTTTTGTGTACAGTATTACCATTTCTCACTTTGAAATCATTGAGTTTCTTAGTAAAAACTCATAAAAGCTTTATAAAATATGAAATGGATAATAAAACAAATTCCAAATTTGGGATTCCAAGTGCCTGTGTTCGGTTGGAGGACTACATTTATTCAAAGTTTGATAGCTCATTGATTTTTCATAGTGTGAGAAACATTTATGCAGATTGTACATTATATAATAAATATATGATGATAATAATGGTGATAATATTTGATAGCAGCAGTTTGAAAAGTGAACCAATGCAGAAAAAGAAACAACACAAAATGCCATTTCGAGACAAACAGCCCTTTGAGTCTAACGCTCCTTTGGGCTAATAATATTTTATGCTTTTTTACCACTTTTAGAAAGTTTTCTAACTACAAATAATTTGAAAATAAGAATTAGCTTCCTACGTTACAAATCGTTTTTCCTTGATAAATCATTTCAACGTGTATTTTCTTGAAGATGATGAGAAAAAAAAAAAAAATTGGGTTAGAAATCCATTTTGTTCAAATGTTCCTGAAATTTTATCTAGTGAAGAAAAAGAACAATTGATAGAAATTTCTTGTGATGAAATGGAAGACTTCAAAAAACGAATTTAAAGGCATTTCAATAAAGCTATTAAATTTTTATTGCCTTTTCGCACAACCTATTATATGAACAAGAATGTTCTTCCGTGTTATATTTGAAAAATAAATACAGAACAAAAATAATGGATCCTAATTTATGGTTAAAACTAAGTGAAATAGGACCAGACATAAAGAAATTGATCTCTTTTAAACAGGCCCAAATTTCACACTAAGTTTTAGAATCAAAGCATTATAACTTTAGTTTTCATAATTAAAATGGTAACCAATTTTTAATCTAATATTTTTATGTGTGCATATTTAATATCAATAGCCAATAGGTTGTACAAATGGCAAAATATTTTTTTAAATATTTATATTGAGGAATGGAAAAATAATCGTAAAAATGTGGTGGTAGTATTGAAGTTTTTAAATTTTTGTTTAAATGGTAGACACTAGTCGAAAGGTTGAGAACTGCTGGTTTAAAGTGAATGTGGTTTCTGCGAATAATCAAGTATTCAGTAGTTATGGCTCAAAGGCTCCATTTAAGTGAAGGTCAAAGTGGCAAATAATTGATAGAATCTAGGGAAGTCAAACACAAATGGAGGTTGCCTAATATTTGAATATCCCTTCAAAGTGTCATGTGAAGAGTTTGGAGCCACTTTTGAGTACTGGATCATTTGACAGGTCAAGGACAACCTAGAGCAACAACTGCATCAAAAAACCATTTTTTGTCTATGCCGGGTCGAGAAACCACAAAGCAACTAAAAAAGGATTTGGTTTTAGATCTTCAGGTTGGCACAGGAAGTCGAATTAGCCATTCTACTGCTGCAAGAAAACTTAAACAGATGAGACTATGTGTGAGAAAAACCAATTATTTGTGTTCCACTCATTCCAACAGCCCATTTAAACTCATGCCATTGTCATGTTCACTAGAACCAAGACGAGAGAGATCGAGTATTTTTTATTGACAAGTCCAGATATAGTCTGAACAGCGATTCTAGGCGTGTTTTGAGCTGGAGGGAAGCAAGAACATACAACTTGCCTTCCCTTGTCCATGGAATATCCTGTTTCTGCAACTGTGGTTTAATGGTTTAGGGAAAAATCATGACAGATGTCTGCAAAGAGTTGCATATCGTTCAAAGATGTTCTATGACCACTCAGAGATATCAGGACGAGATATTGGAAACCCCAGTTAGATTGTTCAGAGATGCTGTTGGCCCAGAATTTTTGCTAATGGATGACAATGCTCGGCCTCTCATGGTATCAGAATACTTGCAAACAGACGATATCACTCGAATGGATTGGCAACCTTTACTCATTCAACTTGAACCGGATTGAGCAGGTGTAGGATGACAGTGAAAAATGAGAACCTTCTGAATTTTCATATTTCAAGGTTGCCAGCCATATATTATATTAATTATGTAGTTTCACTTTTGATCTACTGGATTAAATTGATTAGCAAGTCTATGGAAGATTGCAATTCAGATAGATGGCCAATGCTTGGAAAAGGGTAGATATATGTAGCTTTTGATGTGAAGAAATTTGACAGCCTCAAGTAAACTAATAATGAAATCAGATTTAGGAACTTCTGCAAAAGATTTGGTTGAATGATTCAATTTCTAAGGACAAATGTGCAATTTTTAGTTTAGTAAATTCTGTAGAAATAATTTTATTTTCCCAAAGATTTTTTTTTTTTCCAGTTGCAGTAATAGATATTTTCTTAAAATATTTGTTTTTATTGCAAATGATTGTTATTTTATTAATTTTTATCAATGAACAAGTTAACACTCATTGATAAGTTTAGCTAATACAATTTGACTCAAACTTTTACATATATACAAAGTAACCAAAAAAGTTCTTGCCATTTCTGATATGACATTGGAAGAGTGAACCCCAACATAAAAATAGTCGCCAAACCTCGCGACACAGCGACTGAATGAAATGGGATGCATCAGAGACGTTCAGATTTGTTTCTTGTATGATTTTAAAGTGGGCCTATCAGCAGCAAAATCATTGCAGGCCTTTGGGAACTGCTAGGCAATAGTTCCAGAAGTTCAGGTTGGGGGAGATATGTCTCCCAGTGATGCACCACGCAGCAGTTGGGCACAAGCGCTGGACGATTAGGCTCTGAGAGCAGCCATAGAAAGTGACAGTAGCTAAACATGTGGTGAGTTTGCTGCACACTCTTTAAATTAAATACAGTGAACTAGCATTCTTTATATGTTGATCATTCAGAAACAGCAGCAAAGGTAGTCTCTATCATTTTCTATTCACTTATTTATGCAAATTATGCTTTTCATGTGTGTATTGGTCTTCAGTTCCCTTACAAATTTAATTTTATTGTATGGAATGACAAACTCAAGTTTCTCATTAAAAATTCAATCTTTTATTATAAGCTAATCGATTGTTTATAAAATAAATATTTATGAGTTTTAATATTTTTCACATTTCTTTTACAAAATAATAACTGAATTATTTATTATAAGCTAATGGATTGTTTATAAAATAAATATTTATGAGTTTTAATATTTTTCATGTTTCTTTTACAAAATAATAACTGAATTATTTATTATAATAATTTTTATTAGTACTTATATGCTAGACTGAAATTTTTTAGTTGCCCCAATAAACTTTACAGGACCTACTGATAGTCAACAACTGAAGAATATTAATGCCTAAACTGATTTAAATTGCTTTACTCGACCAGCTGGAAAGTTCTTGTATTACTTTGATAATTGCAAAATTTCTTGATTAACTTTCTGCAAATATGCAATGCAATATTGTTAAATTATTATACTCTGTAAAACAAAAACATTGTAAAAGTGTTCATATTTGAGATGTTTAAAATAAACAGTTTGAGATTCCATTTAGAAAACAGAACAAACATACTAGAAATGAACTCTTAATAACATTTTACAAAAATCATAAATTTTATTATTGCAGTAATAATCCTAAGTCCAAAAATAGTTTGAGTCCATATCTCAATAACATTTTGAATAAGACATTCCATTCAGGTACAACTCTGTGAAGAAATATAGATTTGCTGCACTGCGTACTTAAAATTAAGTAAAGCTGAGGTAAATCATGTAAAATCTTGTAGAGAAGAAAGTTAATAAATAAAACCACTTATTTTCTTCATTATTTTTTTATTTAAATTCTAAGACTGTTCTTTGGTATCACCTGATGGTTCACTTGATTCATCATTTCTCTTCAGCTTTTTCTTTGCACGTATGTCAGCTAGAGTCTGTTCAATAGACCTTTGATCTTTTTTCTGTTCACTAGGGACTAAAAATGCAATAATTAGGATAATATTTTCATATCTTTTACTTATCTTTATTATCCTCTCAGTTCTAGACTTTTAAATTATTTATAAAATAAATTAATATATTAATTTATAATAAATTAATTTATTATAAAATTAATACACTTAAAAATGCAATTAAATGCCAAAATTATTATTGAAGAGTTCTAAAATTTCATGCTTAATTTTATCAAGTAATGCAAAACATAATCATAGCGCAGTACTCATGTATATTTTATGGCTATGTGGTGTACAGATGGATAAGTAAAAACATGACGATTCATTTTAGAAGAAAACACTGTCCAATTAAATTGATTTGTGAACAAAAGGAATTTATCAAACTCAAGAATTTCAAGCTTATATGCAGAATATTCTGCTCTCGGTATAGGTAAAAAATTAATTCAGCATTTTTATCAATTTTAATTTAGATGGTAAAACACCACTTTGGACAGCATTCTATCAAAACTGACAGAACCATGGACTTTAATAAATCATGAATTACAGCTGAGAAAATTGCCGAGAGTTTCAAAAACTGACCAATTATCAGCATTTACTGCTTATATTCACTTCCAAGCTTCACATTGTTTGATGGGAAAGAATAGACTATATTTCCATATTTCTCTTTTTTGTAGTGTCAAGCATTAAAATAGCAATTTTAATGCTTGACACTACAAAAAGAGGTAGTTTTAGAACAAGTTGTAATGGTTTACATTCATAAGATTGACAATACATATAATGCTGGCTTACATAAAACACTAGTTACCACCATAAAACAGAAATTTTGATATTTGCCACCTTCACAGAGTCGTCACTGGTGTACAATCAACATTGATATACCAGTGATACTGGTATACAATGTAGCCAAGAATTATAATTAGCAACAGCACATAATCATGAGGAAAAGAATTTGATTAAATTATTATTTTTTAGGATACCTGCAATAGAACTGACACTACCAAAGAGTCGAAACAGTTTTTGAGCTGCCTTATCAATCCTATGCTGTGTTAGCCCTTTATTGCATTTTTACTATTACAGAAAATGAAACGCACACAAATGAAAAACGTGGGTGAAGTTAGAGAAGCCATAACAATAGCTACCTCTGCTGCTGCTGAAGATGCTGCTCTCTGTTTAATGAGATTGAGCTGAATCAATTTCTCCAAGCCTCTCCCATCAAGTAAACATGTGCTGTGAGGAATTCACCCAAAATAGCATCATCATTTACCATCACAGTATTAATTATATATTGCCCAAGTGGTCATGCAAAAACTAAATTGAATTAGAAAATTCTCCAGGAATCGGTATAATTTCTACACATCTTAGATTTTCTTCTAGATGAATGACTAGAAGTCTGATTCTAGAGCTGTCAAAAACTCACAATTTTCTAAAACACAATAAGGCAACTGTAGAAGATGATGGCTATGTCATAGGTAAAGAAAATCCGATTATTCTTTTTATCAGATACAAATGCTTGCACTGAAATCAGCCATAAAATTTTACAGTAATCCAATATGAGGAAAATAACAGTGATTTATTTACAATTCATAACATTTCATACAGAAATTACAATAATTTTTGTTATACAAAATATAGCTCAACCATTAGAGAACATTCAAATGGTGGTTTAGCCATTATAGACGTGAGGGACATCAAATACATTAGCTTTGTTCATGTCTGTGGAACAGGATCTAAGCCAATCAAGAAAGTAAATTTGTGCATGCATGAGAATATAATTGTACACCAGTGATGATTTTGCATATAAGCTGATATGCAAAATCGTTTGCTGTTGATTTTTATACCATTTTGTTTGTTCAACCAAGATAAATCACCAATTCAAATCGACATGAAAAATTGGAACATTTCAAAAAAATCCTTACACCAGTTTCTGTGATATAACAAAATGCTTATCAACAGAAGTTCAGCTTACACCATTTGCGACCATAAAAATCCCTTATGCAGTTTGCTGAACACTCCTCTGGAGAACACTTAAGGGCCATTCACACTCAGATTTATCCAAGCTAACACAGTTGATTCTATGTGTAGCTTAGTTACACATGAGAGTTCAGGTTTTTCAACACCATGGAGCAACGCTGGCTGAGCCAGATGTCTGCATCAGCTTAACCCCAATGTAAACAAACATCTCTTTATGAAACCAAGGATGTTGCTTTTTTTTTTCCCTGACGTTATTTTCTTTCTTCACGTTCGTATGAGGTTTCTAGATTCGGAGTGAATAACGATCACATTTGAAAAAGTATCGAAGCACACTTTATTTAGCCAATATTAATTAGGACAGCTCCAAAGTCACTTTTTACAGTCGTCGAAGATCTACTATACACATACTGACACAATCAGCAACACAGCCTTCACACTGTCAGGCAATAACAATGGAGACAGCTTCACTGCAAAGCACCAGAGTACAGCTCCCGATTTTGCTCGATCGTTCTCGGAGCTCCACGTACTCTGGAGATTCTCCACGCCACAACTTGCAATGCACTCGACGACACACAGAGCACAGCTCCCGACTCTTCAATTCAGTCGTTCCCGGAGCTCAACACACTTTCTCGACGGTGCACTAATTACAATACAATATACTAGGAGATTCTTTCGGTGCACTCAGCGACCCACTCGGCATTCGCTGACCGACTGGCAACTCGACTCCACCCGGACTAACTGGCTCGACACTCACACTAATTGACTGCGGACCAGCAGGGATTATATAGCTTTCGACTTGTGTTCGAGAACATTCTGGGCTAAACCGGTAAGAATTCGTTCCAGAAGTTTGCGCACCCCGAGACCCACAATCAAGAAAGCAGGGTCCTTGATCCTCACACAAGTAGGTTGCGCACTATGAGCGCTCTGCCAGAGACGAGTACGTTAGCCGAAAATGTCCCATGGATGGACGTTGGCATCACACCAGAGATGCCTTCTACAAGTGAGAGATGCATTGGGTTTATTCCGCAAACTCAAATCGACGACGTGCATATGGATTATTACCGCAAAAAATTATCGTAAGTGGAAAAAGAAATTTGATGGACTTAAAATGGCGATTAAGGTAAACCGACGACTATGTTCAGTGGCGGATCCTAACGCTAGTACGTATATTATGATGAAGAATCTTCAAACCCTCCAGGCTGAAGCAACTGATTTAAGAGGCAAGTGCAATTTGACTTGTTCCTCAGGCATTGTGTCCCTAGTTAATTTTAAGCCGAAAAGAAAAAACGAAGAGAGTAAAATTAAAAGGATAATCATTAGTAGTCTCATTAATATTGATGGATTTAAAATACCTAACAAAACTGCTAAGCAACAAAAGTTAGAAAAAATACCTGCAACTGCTGAAAGTACAAATAGATTTAATATCTTAAATGAAAATTCTGATAATATTAGGGTTAACCCAGACGAACAGGCGGTGCAGCAGCAGCCGATTATTAGCCAGACTCAGGCCACCACCCCCTATTATGGTCACCCCAGAAAATTAACACACAAGGCCTTCTTAAAAGAATTATCTCAGATGACAGAAGCTAACTTCTTAGGAAAAGTAAATGGAGAGCTTCTAAAAATACCTTACAGCTTTGTTTCTGGAGAAAAAAATTGAGCACTACATTATTAATGCAAACTATGCAAGACCAATTAAAGTGGTTTTTCGAGGTTTATCCTTAACCGCAAAAACTGAGGATATTGCCAGTGCTCTGACTGCCAAAGGTTTTGGAATCAGCAAAGTTACCCAGTTAACAAGATGACGAACCAAAGCTCCCATGCCTTTATTTTTAGTGCAGGTCATTAAGAATGATATAGCGGAGGAAATATACCATGTTACGGATCTACTTCTCTTTGCAGTCAAGGTAGAAAAATATGTATCCAAGAATCAGGTGCCACAGTGCTATAACTGCCAAAAGTGGCACCATTCTTCGGAAAATTGTCATTTCGCTCCATGCTGCGTTAAATGCTCACTTGAGCAGAAAACCATGGACTGCCCTACCAAAGGAAGGTTAGATGAACCAAAGTGTGCAAACTGTTTAAAAAATCACATGGCTTCCTACTGGGGTTGCGAGAAATTCCCAAGGAACAGAATTAACCCTAAAAAAAAGGACAGTACAAGTGAAAAAAGGCATTTCATTTGTAGATATGTTAAAAAATCAGGCGAGTATTTTCAACGATAACTCAAATGTTCATACCCCAAAATCGGCTTCTGCTGCACAATGTGAGACCTCTAAGAATACTAATAATATTAAGATAACTGATCTGAATAATGCTTTAAAAAATTTAAATATGTCTAAGGCTAGTCAATCAAATGTGAATATATCTGATAATGTAATGCACAACACCCAGGAGAAGCCGCAAGGCTCAGAATTTTTATGTTTTATTAAAAATATATCAGAGTTCAATAATATTTTAGGAATCAACAACATCAGGCTAATGAATAAATGTGTTCAAAAATTATCTGCCTAAACTTAAAGAATTGTCTGATCCAGTTGATAAACTTCTTATGTTTAATGAAATTGTAAATGAAATCAATAATAATGTCTCAGATTAATCAGAATAGGCCTCTTACTATCTGATCCTACCCACTACCCATTGAGGATTAGCAAATGCACAGCCAAATTTGCGAAGAAAACTTTCATTAATTTTTGACAATTTCAAAATTCCCTGCATTTCCTATATTTCTGGTATGTTTTGTAAAATATCTCCTTCAATAGCTGTTCAGGCCACCCTTTTATTACACTCTACGATCCTTTTGCTCGATAGTCATTACTTACGTTGTCAAATTAACTTAAAATTTGAACTTAGTTCTTAGCCCCACCTCCAACCAATGCCTGAGTAAAGTTAAAGCACTTCTTTTCCAGCTGCCTCATTGGAGCTTTCCACCTAGCTTCCCCCTTAGCCAAAGGATATCTGAGCTGTTTCTGTAGACCTTAAACTGTTCTTCATCTACGGACATTGTGCATCTGAGTGGCAGCGAACTGGCCTACTGATCTGTATATGCGAGAGGCTCATCACCCAAGATTATTCTCCCATCTGACTCTGCCATATTATGTTAGGGATGATATGCTCTTCTCTGCACAAGTTACACACAGGATGCGGCTAACCAGCCTAGGTGCCTGACAAAAGTATGCATAACACCTGAGCCTCCAGAAGGTTCTTCATCCATCCATGGCATATCGCCAAAGGGATGATTTCTCGCCAAATGTGGCACCATGTCTTCCCTTGCCATTTTATGGCAACCCTCAAACTGCTTTGCTGAGAAGCTATCTTACTGCGTCTGTACATTTCGTAACAATATTGTCCATTATTAAGGAATATCCACTATATGGGAGTGCACTGGTTTCCTACTTCAAGAAGGAACATGAAGTAAGAATCTAGCACAGTAAGGCAATATACTGGTAGTCCACTGCCATTGTGCTCATGGACGACCGGCTGCTGAACTCTGAAACAGCTGTTTCTGTTGTTTGAAATGCTCTCCAGAGAGATACGAATGCCTCCACTACACCTGTAACACTTTGACCTTCTTCTAACTTCCCAAACATGCAATATCAGTTAAAGTCATCCTGAATTGCCTGCTGGCCATATATCACATGTTAGTAGCAATTTAGCATTGTTGAAATCATGCCATATATGTGCATATCCTATCTGTACAGGCCTCCAAGTCTATCTCTAAATTGATCTTTTGGTCTGTTCTGGGACCTAGTCTGCTTTTATGTTTATTTCTTCACCTTGTCCTTAATTTTTTCATACCAATGCAGTTGAAGAACAGAAAATCCAAATTTTAGTTAAATGAAGAATTTGGCAAGAAAACTGCATAGTATAAGACTGAATTCATTATTTTGTTAATAAAAGTGAAATAGCAGAAGCAAATGGCAATTTGTAATTTTTTCTTTCTACATTTTCAAATTTTACCATATGATAAACTTATTGATAGACAGTAAAATTTCTACAAGGAATATAATGAAACCAGACTTACCGAAGCCAAACTGCTTATTTGGTGTAGCTACTCGTGCTGCAGCCTTTCCTGCATCACGTCCAAGTAATTTTTCATATTTAACTGTGTAGTTATTATTTGGTAAAACTTCATGTTTTCTTTTCTTACTTTGTTCAAGCTCATTAATTCTCTCTTGCTCCTAAAAAATTTAAAAGCATATTTTGAAAAACACACAAGAAAGAAACTTCGTAATAAACAAAATTTAAGCTCGCCTCCTATAAAAAGAAAAGAAGGAAATGAAGGGAGGAAGAAATTTAATTTTACTCATTTGATAAATATGAAATCAAAATAGTATGATAATGTTTCACACACAAGATATTTCATTGTAGAGTTACAACTATTTTAAATGCAAGATTGCATAAAAATCGCAAAATAAAAAAGGATAAAATAATTAAGTAAAATAAAAAGGGTTACAAAAAAGGATTGTATGAATATAAAAACTTTTATTTTTTACAAAAGTATTCACATTTAAAGTTCAGCAATGGGAAACTGAACAGCCTAGATTTTAGACTGATTTTTAATAACACTAAAATCAAAATCAAGAAACGCTAATCTCACATACGAATAAAATGTGGGATATCTTTATATTAATTAAATCAGCTGGAATTTCAGTCTTTACTATAACTTCCCCTTTCCATATTCCTCACCAGAACGCAAATTAATTGTGAGCATTTAAACTGAAGTTTTGGGATTTGAGACACAGAGTGTTTCTGGCATCATGTACATACTATGTAGTTACTTCTGCCAGTTCTAACAGTTGTAATTTTTCAGCTTTGCATTTTCACACTGCCAATACTTTAAATCTGATGTATTGGTAAAGTTATTGAGCCAGCTTCTAGTAATAATATTTAATTGCATAGTCTTTGACTACTTCAATGTTTAACTTAAATTTGATTGTTCAACTGTTTGCATCACCACGAGCTGCAGTTATTGTAGCACAACAGCATGCCCTTATATTTCAAGTTCTGTTTAAATAAAAAGGTTCTTATAACATTGTTAAGACTTTGTTATTTCTCAGATACAGTGATAACTCTCTTCACATTTGTTAGGGTTATAGGACAAAGCAGTATTACCAGATTAGTGAAGTGCTGCTCACACAAATTACGGATCATGTTGCATGAAAAAATAGCATATAATGTGGCCCCCCCAGACCGTATGTTCTACCGGCACCAAGAAATCTAATCACCTTTTTCAGAACAGTTAAAAACATACTTTCTACTTTCTCCAGGTGCAGAATTACAGGTCACCACAGCAACCACTGTGCTTTGACGACAGACAATGAGCTGGTACAAAGACATCGGTAAATTTTTGTTGGGTGAACCAGGCAATGAGAGTTACAAGTTTGAAATGTTTAAAACCACTCTTGTGAAAGCATTCCCTATGATGAAAGATAAAGCAAAACTAGAAATGAAACTTTTTAGTAGATACTAAATGAAGATTGAAGAGTTAACTGAGTTTATATTGAGGAAAATACAAGTTAAGTAACAACTGAATGAGAAAAAAAAATCCCATGCAGAGTTTATCCAAATAGTATTGGCTAGGCTGTAGCCTCAGATTTAGGATTTTGTTGATTACAAAACCTGAGTATGCTAGAGCAGTTATTCAAGTTAGTGAAGTTTGAAAGTAGGCAGTGAATGCATACGTAAAATAACCTTAAATATGCAGATGAAAAATGAACTTCAGTAAAATTTTACATAACATAAAACATTTTACTTGTATTATTATCATATTCTTTCTCAAACTAGTTGCTTAATGATGGCAAACTATTTAAAAGCCTACAAGATATACCTTTGTAACAGATACTGGTATTTGTATTTGTATTTGTACAACATGAATTTATGGTACTATTATTTAATTCATTAATTAAATTATACTATTATAATGACAGGTTAAAGTTTGTACATTATAACAACTTGTACATAAGTTCAATTAACGTTTTTTTTTTTTATATGAAACTAGCAATGCAAGCAGCTAACTGCCTAAAATAGTAAACGTCCTTGTACGGCTATTAAATTATACAATTTTTTACTGCACTTTATTCAAACTTATTTCCTAAAATTATTCTAACTTAATTAACTGATCCCTCAAGGTAAGTTGAAAATAACTTTAAAAATTGCAAATTTTGAAATTAAATATCCTGGTCAATTTTTACATATGGAGGTCAAACTTTTTTTATTTTTCAAAGTGAGTCTAAAATTTTCGCAAATATAAGTGACCACATTAAAAGTTAGATTTCATTATTTGCCCAAAATTATTATTATTAATTTTAAAGTGCTACAATATTAATATTTTCACCCAACTGGAAGCATTCTGTGACCAACAATTGTGAAAATAAAGACTGGGTACAGGTTTCGAGAATTAATACATATAATTTTACAAAATAAATTTTTTACTAGAAAAATATTATACTATCTTGGAAAGTATAAAAAACCTATTGTAACAGAATATATAGATAATAAAAACAATTTACAGATATATAATATAATTTTGGTATTGCAAATTGCAATAAAAAAGGGAGATGATTGAGTAGATGTTACAGAAGTCTCATATACAAAATTTCAATGTTCTATGGGTAAGTTTCGATGTTTTGAGTTATGCGAGATACATATGTACTTGCAAAAAAAAATCCTTTTTACAATCCGCTTTGAAATAAAGAGTCCTATATATTTATGTCCCATGCAAAATTATTTAACATATTTTAAAAATCAATGTTTCTTTAAAACATATAATTATTTTAAGCAATGAATGCAGTATAAAAAAGTAAAACTCAGGAATATAAGAAAGGACAATAATTAAAAAAAAAGGGGGACAAAGAATACAAAATTAATGAAACATGGCAAAACCTGTACCTATTCTTTCAACTATGCCACCTGTTGAAACTTGTTAACAGAAGTTACGCTTAAAGGGCTGACACATCTGTTGTGAAAACTGCTGCTGAAGAAAACAAAAGTACAGAGTAGAAGGGTTATCAGCAATCCCTCTAGAATAGTGATATAATCATATTCACAATATATCTGTAGCTCTTGGCTTTGCCGTATGAAATTTCACACCATTTTAAATTAAATGGAATCAAGATTCAACACTGAAATTTATGGGTTCTCATAAATTACCGATGCCACATGAAAAAACAAAATACTGAAAATATTTTAAAGAATATTTAATGCTTGGCTTTATTCCATGCCTGGAAAATTCAACATTATCTTTATATCTCATTTGAAAGAACTCTTTACACAACAATACAATGAAACCACCAAAAATGAAAAAACATTTAATAAGAATGCATGCAGATAAAAATAAGTCAACTTGGAGCACTTTACCTCAAAGATAAATTTTCAATGTGCTCAGACGGGAATTAAATCATTTTTTATATCATCAACACCTAAGAATTATGCAAGACTTGAAGCTTCATATAACATTTCCTAATTAACTGCAAAAGAAGGATAACCGAGTACAGTTGGTAAAAATTTATTATTACCAATAGTTCAAGAAGTAATAACTACAGTTATAAAAATGAATCTGGATCCGATTTTGCAAAGTTTGACTCTCAGTAACAATTCAGTTCAATGTTAAATAGATGAAATGGCTGAAACTACCGTACAAATACTGATTTCTGAATTAAGGGTTAATAAATTTGCCATACAGCTAAATGAATCAACTTTTAGAAACAACACGGTTTTAAAGATTTATTTTAGATTTTAAAGAGTGTTATCATATTGATGCTAAAGGAAAAAAAAATTACAGAGGAGTCTTTTTCGCACAAAGCCTCTTGAAACATACACAAGAAGAATAGACATATTTCATTGTGGTGAAACATTTTACAGCAGTATGACATTTCTCAGTCCAACATTACTGCAGCTTTTTGATATGGTGTATCAGTAATGATCGGAAAATATCAGAGCCTTTTTAATATGACTCAAAAGGAACATCCCTAAATTTGGTCTGTTCATTGTCTTTTGTGCAGGCAACATTTCATTATGAAAAATTTTCAAGTAAAGCTTCATATTATTTCAAAGCGATACATACCATCAAATTTGCTTTTTCATGTTGTGCTGAAGGTATGCTAAGGTACGCCGAAGGTAATGCTTTATGCTAGCTACACTGTGGTACATTGGATCTCCAAGGAGAACTGTTTGCAGCAGTTTATACACAATGTCAATAATGTGATGGTATTTTTTCTTGAAGTTGACAAACCCTACGGTGACACATTTAGTTAAAGAAAAAAATCTACTGGGCTAATATGTATTCAATGTTTGATGATATACAAACTGCAGAAAAGAGACATCAATTTCATTGAAGCTAGAATGATTATCTTTCGCTTTTTGTTCTAAAATTAACTTGTTTATATCCACAATAGATTGAAAAGAATTCCAATAGTTTGATAACTTAATGTGGTTGTTCGTTTTCCGAAAAGGATCGAATTTCCTCAGAAGATATATAGTTACGTACAAGCCACTTACAAAACATTGAAGAAGATTTGAATGTTCACTCTGAAACTGAAAATTTGTGGCTTATAGAACTGCAATCTGATGGTGATATTATGATACATAAAGAGTTGACTGCACTGAAGGAGACTGTTCAAGCATGAGCCTTATTCAAAATATAAGGGTATGCTAAGTTTAAAGTCATCTGAGAGAAATATCCCCAAATTAAAATTGTCATTGAACCAACATTATTGACTTTTCCCTCTTCTTACCTAGCGGAGTAGGCTTCAGTCAGAAATTTTTGAATGAGGCAACTTAAGAATCAAATTAAGCAATTTTATGCCAAATATTAAAAAAAAATTACCTTCAGTACATCAAGCACAGCCACCACTTGAAATTGCAAAAAAATTGAACTTTGGTACAATTAGAATCTGCGATTTTATTTCTGAAAACTTGTTTATATTTATGCAATTAAAAATAATAATTAAAACATAAATCTAAAAAACTATCTTTTTTTCAAAACTCTTGTTCATATTCTTAATTATTATCTTTAACCTTTTCCTGGTGCCTGGGAGATATGTTTCCCAAGTGTTTGTAAAGCTCAAATTTAGTACAATACTTATGGAGATTTAAAATTTTTAATTTAATGGAAAGGAGGAATTCCTAGACTTCGTCGATTTGTTTCTGCTCTTGGGTGACTGAATAGTCGATTAATGGTTTCAATACACAAAAAACTAGTCTCTATGGTCCACATGAAAAGGTCAAGTTACTTATGTGCAATTATTTGTATTATGATTATGTTGTATGCTCTATATTATAGACAAAATAAAAAGAGTTGATGAAGAAAACCATTCTTTTGAAAGGGATCAATGCAGAAAAAGGCTACGAATCCCTGATCTAGAGGTTTATACTTCGAGTAGCTCTATACTATACACGTTTTTTGAAAGCAATTTATAATCACATAATAGATTTACCTATCATGTAAGAAATGCAAATGCATAGTATTTCAATGTTAAATACCTTTTGCAAGGCTAATGATTTAGCTTTGACAGGATCCCAGTCCTCTCCATTTCTATATGCAACTAATTCTTCATCAGAAGGTGCAAATTCCTGCAATAATTTAAATAGTAGCATCAAAAATAATTTCAAACATATTTTATATAAAAAAGCTAGAAGTTTAATAAAAAAATTCCAATTTTCATAGCATTTGTCAATTAATTATTTATTGATATACACACATTATAGTTTGACTGAAGATACCAATTTTAAAATTGGTAAATTTTAGTATCATTACTTATAGTGATTTATAATAAAATACTCGTAGCTTAGTAAACTCATTTACCTTAATATTTAAAAATTCTGGAAATAAGTTACATCTAAAAATTGAGAATGAATGTACAAATAAGTACCTTTCTCCTTTTAACACTGAATTCAAGAAAAAACATTCTTATATATGAATCAGCAAGGTAAACAGAAAGAATAATACTCCAAAAACACTGGAATAAGTCAGCAGTTCTCAACATTAGGTAAAAGGATATGAAAAAGGACATTCTGGGATGTGTGGGGGGGAATTGACTAAGGGGGAAGGAAAATATATTAATAACTGAATAATAGGAGAAAAGGCAAATATGTTAACAATGTAAGATACTATATTAATAATGAATAGTGATGAAGTCTTTCTTAAAAACTATGCTAGACAAGATTATTAGATTGAAACTTTAAAACTTAAATTCCAGAAACATTACAAAATCCCCCCCCCCAGTTTAATTGGCATTAAAGATCATACACATTCATTTTGCTCTTCTTGTCTCCAGGCTTTCGTATACTAAAAATTATCCACATGAAAAATACATGCATTTTTTATTCATATCCTCTAAATATTAGTTTTAGGACTAACAATGTAAAAACATATTTTTAACTCCAAACTGAAACTCTCTTAATTGTGTAGCTCTTCAAGATACAAAAATTTCCTATGTATGACAATAATGACAGAAAAAAAACAAAATTCTTTAATACCTGAAATGTATGACTACGATTCAGAATTAAGGAAATCAAACATAAGATGCACTATACACTATCCTTGCCTTCACTCCTCTATTAACCCTAGTTTGTAATGCTGATATCAACAGAATATTCTGCCTTTAATTTAAAAAACAAAAAAGAGCATGTGAATCTTCTTGTTGCTACAGTGAAAACGAAGAGATGATACTATGAAACATTATTTAAATTAGAGCTACCCTTTCAGCTTCTCTGGGCCACACAGGACGACAAGATATTTTGAACCACATAAATTATTTCTAACACCAGCGGCAGCTTGTGACCTCCATAATAAGTGAATCACATAATTCCGTAGGTTTTGCTGAAATTTTTCAGGTTTCTCAGATTCGAATGCTGAAAGAATTTTTGAATTTCACGTCTAGGGAAGAAATACACGGGTTTGGCCACATTAATTCAAATTTGCTCATATGTATACATGTCAGTAGATATTTTAACTAAATAAGTTAGACATTGGCAAGCTACCACTGCCTAACTGAACATAATAATGTGATATTTAGCCTTGAATTTGAAAAACTAATGCATCAATGTCTGGTTCAATTAAAGTGTTGCAATTCTCAGGGAATTTCTGGTTTTAATTTTTCTCTTAGTATGCTTCACTCTTTAGTTGTTTACTAATGTACTTTCTGCCAAATGTGATGACATGAATAACACATAACTGTGCAGCCAGACACATTTGTCTCTGGGTTAAAATAAAGAAAATCACTTCATGTACAAATCAAAAGATTTGGAACAGCCCTCTTGAAATCCAGATTCAAACCAAGATCTTAACAATAAAATGTATTATCTATTATCAGGGTACAGTCTTGATACTTCTTGTGCATTTCATACTTATTTCTTGGGCCATATCCCTGATTTAAAGAATTTTTCTGGTTATTTACTATTATCATTCGACTCTTTATTAAAACATTAATATGGCAAAGCTGGTATTAAAACCAGGTCACTGCAGCACACATGCTAATGAAAGGGTTCTCTACCGAAGGGATTGCAGACAGCCTTTTATTTATTAAAACAAGCCTTTTATTTACCTACTTTTATTCAAGTTTAAATATTTATCAACATTTTCTATACTTTTTCTTGTTTAATTCATAAAACACATAAAAAGTTATCTAAATTAAAACAAACGTATACACATTTTTTTTAGTTTGGGAATGGAGGGGTGGATGACTGTCCAGCAATGATGAGGGGTGCATGAAGCAAAAAATGTTGAGAAACACTGTGTTAATGTATCTGAAACTAGATTATTATGAAGGGGGTACAGGATCCATTATTTAATCCGATGATGATCTTTCTCTGATCCATGAAATAGCCATCTTCTGTTTTAAACATTCTTTTCATCCATTCCCACCCACAGCAAAAATTTCATTTAGTTTTAGTAGCTTTTATTTATGAACAGATGGGGCTGTCGTGAATTCAAGAAATTTCCCAATCTACCATTACCTGTGACACTGCTTTGTTTCCTAATACTAATGGTTTGAAAAAGATGAAACATTAATCAGATCTGAAAACTTTATGCAGCAGGGGTTGAAAAAAACACTCATAGGAAGAAAAAGATTTAATAACACTCTAAAAAGAATCAAAAGATAAACTAATGGCAATTGAACTTAATGTTTTAATTTCGTCATTGTTAATTTGTGGCAAATTCATAACTGTTGAATCTGCATAAAGCAATAAATTTTCATGTCCCATCAACCTCATGATTTGATAAAATTTTATAAAGATACTGGCACCTTTGTGCAAATCGATGACAAGATTGAGACCTTAACATGGGTGCTCTGGCAATCTCAATGAGGGCTGCTTCCTTCATGATACTGAACTTCATAAGGGTTCTGAAACTTTCTTGCCCTTTATGGCAGGACACCACTGAATGATGGTTCACTTGAAAAAATGTCGGCACCTTTATGCAAGTTTGCCATGCTGGTTAGATCAACCCCATCTGCCTCTGCTTATATCTTTATTCCAATAAAGCTGAATTACCTTTTCCTTAGCTTGATATTTGCCGGTAGGAATGTGTTAAATACTCCGTTTAAAAATCATGCATGTGTACAGAGGATAGCTTTAAATCCCATACCCAATAACACAATGGAACAATTTACTTTAGCAGCATTTACAAAACATGCCAACTATATTAATAAAAAATTCAATTTCTTTCCCCCATCCTGCAAAATACACACAGTATGACAACTGAATAAAAAAACTTTTTTTTTTAAGTCACAGAATTTACATTCACATATATTACTCAAAATAATATCCTCTGATTTGGACTGTGGCAAAGCATGTAAGGCCTACATGAAGGAAACACAAGTTAATATCTTTTCAAAAGAAACTAACTTGTATTTACATTATACAAGGGGACATTGCATTACACCTCTTGATTGGAATTCTAACCCAAGTTTAAGTAACAAAAGGCAAGACCTGTAGATGTTTGTTAATGACACAGCTCAAAAAGCAAATGTCACAATTCTTTGGATCTCTTTACTGTAAGAAAAAAGGTGAAAATAGAAATGCATTATAATTTTCAATAGTCAACTTTACAGAGATTTTGTAAAATGTATTTTTGTAATGTAACTTTATTATTTAATTACCACCCTGCATATGATATTTTTGTTTTCAGTTAATACAGAAAATGCATTAACAATTTAATGTAATATTTCTAAAACCAAATAACTGCAAATTTACCATAAGGTAAAAGATACCATTCTGTGAATACTTGAAGATAAACAAGAGAAAATAAACACTACATATTTCTCAAGCAATACATATTTCATGGCATACAAGCAACAATAATGAGTAATAAAAACAAAGATTATACTCAAGTATTTCTAAGTTCTGTGTGTTATTATGAGGTATGTGAAGGGCAATGAAGTGGGAAATACTTTGTCTATTCATTGTTTGTCACAGTGTAAAAAAATGAGATTATATTTAATGTTACTGATTGCTAGTTAAAAGAAAACGCCATTAATTCTCCCAAATTTTACGAGTTATATTTAAACAGCGCCAAATCTACATGAGGATATCCATGGAAAAACGATGAAGGCAACAATTTCTGTTCTTAAAAAATGAAAGTTTGGTAAACATTGCTATAAAATTGGTCATAAATACTACTTACACATAAAACAATGCATACAGCTACTTACAATACCAGAAATTACAGAGCAAGTATTGCATAATGAACCATCCTAAGTTTTCATGTTATCCAATAATATTTCAGCCATGTTTCTCCTTAAATACGACTAAAAGCTTAACAAAATAAGTATCATATCAGATTTTCAAAAAATTAAATAGCAGTTTAAGAAAAATTTAGGAAATAACTTGCAAGCCTGACAACTTTGTTCCTATTATTAATCAACAGAATGAAAATTCTTATCCAAATTTAATTGCAAATCATACTTAAAAAAAAAAAAAAAAAAAAAAAAAATGTTTGCTGTAATTGTAACATTCTTTTTTTTAATGTAATAGCAATTGACTTAAAATGAAATATGTGAAAAATGAAATATGTGAAATTTAAGAAAATTTCAATATCTGGCTGTACCAGATCTTAAAATTTAACACATTTTTAACACTTTTTGTAAAGATAAATGTCTTAAAAAGTGTGTTCAATAAATGAATGAATTAAAATAAAATAAAAACTGAATTAATAGAGAATTCAAACATGAATTTTAGTTAAAGCATAATAATCCATTCTGCAGAGATTTATAAATTAGATAACAATGAAATACTTTACCTTTTTGAAAACCATAACATATCTGTCTACTTCTTCTTCACCAAAAGCAAAGGCAGATAAACCTGCTATATCAGCTACATCATGTCTGAAATATACTTCAATAAATAGAATTTAAAAGTATAGATGACTTTTTAATAATTATCAAGAAATAATTATTCACTATTTCTTAACCTCTGCAAAATAATAAGAACAAAGCAAATGCAATGCAGAATTTTTGGCAATAAATGTATCATTTGTAGCTTAATTCATTTCAATATCTGTGATTCTAATAACTATAATACCTGCTAAATTATTAACACAGTGCTTTTAATAATGAGCAAATAATTTTTAAGCAATAAAAAAAACAAAAAATACTGAACTTTTTGAAAACTTTAATAAATATAAAGCTCTCAGAACATTTTTGCACAGCAGCAGCACTGATAATCCTATGATTCAACTAATTAAACACTAACATTCTTCTTATTTCTTTGTACACTTGCTTCATAAAAAATACATTTTACAGAAAATTTCAAGATCATTCATGCATGCTTTAAAGAAAACATCATTATGTACACTATTCCAGTACCTCACATTGTATAATTCCTCTCAGTATCACTCTACGGAATTAAATATGAACAGCAACGGTCATAAAGTTCTTCCTCATTAAAGATCACATTTGTGAAAAAACAGGTATTCATAAAAAAAGGGGGGGGAAGTTTAAGGCCATGCAAGAGGATTTTTGTAGTTTCTTGTTATTCTTCTACTTTCTGTGGCATTCCTAGTTTTGTGGTTTGCTTCATAATACAGTCAAAAGTCGTTAATTCGGACCTCAAAGCTACAAACTTTCTGCGCATGCATCACATTGACGCATGCACGTAAGACCTTTACGGCTGCAAATTTGCGTGTGCGCGTAAGCAAAATACGTTTACAAATGCGCGTTTAATGTATAACGGACGGTATAAGCTAAGCTAAAATTATCTAATTATCTATTTCAGTTAACGTTGCAGATTGCGTTGTTCCTTGTTAGCATAAATTTAGGTATTTTGCATAATGAAACTCGAAAGGCATACGAAACGAACGTGCGCCAAGGTATATATTGGCGAGAGAAAGTAAAGCTCGTGTGCAATGCAGAATGTTTGATTTTCATCCTAGCTACTTGTACCTGGCCAAAGGTCTAATCCAGTAGTACTTTCTTCTCTTTCAGGTACTACGGCAAAGTATATTCCTGTTTATTTTTCTTATTCCCTAAAATAGGTAAGCCTGGTGATTTAGGACTGATGATGATTATCTGTAAGTTATTCTTTTCAATACTTCAGTGTTTTAATGTCCGTGAACATTATTACTTTTGTTATGCTTAAGTTAAGCAAAATTATCCTATTAAATAAAGATTTCGTAGTTAAAATTTTTGACTTATGATTCTTTAATTCTGTGCTTGAGGAAACGTACTCAGTGCCTTCAGTGCTAATGCACAACCAACAATTGATTATGAGACTGAGAAATTGAAATTTTGTAATGTTGTAAGATTCCAGGGGCATAAAGTGTTAAAACTCTTTGTTGAAAATACTAGTTACAAAGTTTATATGAATAATTGTAACAAGTAATAATGTCTATTCTAAAAGAATCAATTTGTATAGAAAAATTAACAGATGAAAATTATTCAGTGTGGAAGTTTAAAATAAAACAACTTCTAATAAAAGAAGGTTTAGATGATGTTGTATTCGAAGAAAAACCGGGAACTGATACTGATATTTGGTTAAACAATGATCGTAAAATTTAATATTACAATTATTAATTAAGACATTTCGGATTCGCAAATTATCCATGTTTTACATAGTAAATCTGCAAAAGAAGTTTGGCAGAAGTTAAAATGTGTCCATGAACATGTAAATTTAACAAATAAGTTATTTCTTCTTAGAAAACTATATTCCATTAGATATAATGAAAGTTCTAAAATGCAGGAACATATCAAAGGAGTACTAGAGTTGGCTGATGAAAAGCTGCGTAGTATAGGTGAAGAAATAAAGAAAATAACTTAATCGCAATACTACTATGTTTCTTTACCAAATTCATACAACTCCTTAATAACTGCAATAGAAAGTAAAAAGTAAATCGGAAGCTGAATTGTCGCTAGAATATGTTAAAAACAAACTAATAGATGAGTATTGTAGACGTGTGGAAACTAAGAAAGTTCAAAAGTACGATTCAGTTGCTTTAAAAAGTAAAAGCGAAATAAACCAAAGTATGTTACACAATTTTGTACTTATTGTAAGAGAAATAACCATACGATAAATGACTGTTTTCATTTAAAACGCACGCTAGAACTTCCCCGAAAACAGATGTAAATAATAGTAAAGTAAGAAAATTATTCTCAAAATTATAAAAGTAATGCATGCCAAATAGCAAATACGCAAAATGTAGAAAACATAACAAAACTTAAAGAAAATAAGTATCTTAAAAGTATTGAAACTGAAAATTCGCAGATTCAGTTTAATCAAGTTCTAAAAGTGGAAAATAAACATGAAAATACGCAACGCAAGAATGGGTTATCGACTCGGGAGCCTCCACTCATATGAAGGAGTGATAAAAAATTTTTCTCTCAGTTTAAATGACTCTAATAAACAAATAGTAACTGTAGCCAATGGTGCTAAATTAAATTCTTATGGTATTGGTGAAGGTTATTTTAAAGTTCAAAACTTAAAGGGTCAGGTTACACAAATAAAATTGGAAAATGTATTGTATGTACCAGGTTTAGATAGTAATTTACTTTCTGTTCAATCTGTTACCAATAAAGGTTGCATTGTTACATTTGATAGTAATAAGTGTTACATAAAGCGTAACAATATACTCGTAGCCGACGGCAACGCTCAGCAAGGTTTATATAAAGTGACCGTAAACCCAATTGATGAGAAAGCATACTTAGCTAATAATGTTTCATGTTCAAATACGAACTGTATACTAAAATGGCATCAAAGATTAGGCCACAGAGATATAGATGCCATAAAAACACTTGAGAAAAATGATTTGGCAGACGGCATTAAACTTGGCAAATGCACTCATAGTGTGGAATGTTCTACTTGTGTAAAAGCGAAACTAACTGAAACACCTTATCCCAAAACTAGTTTTAGATCTAAAAAATCCACTGGATTTAGTGCACACAGATGTGTGTGGGCCAATTGAAGTCAACAGCTTAGGAGGGAAAAAAGATATTTCGTAACTTTCATTGATGACTATTCGCGTTATACTCAAATTATTTTATTACTTCAAAAGATGAAGTATTTGAGAAACTTAAACAGTATGTTGCATCGACAACAAATAAATTTAGAAAGAAAATAAAAAGGTTCTCAGATCCGACAACGGTACAGAATATTGTAACGAAAGTACTGAAAATTATTTAAAGAAACTCGGCATTTTTCACCAAACTTCGGTTCCTTATTGTCCGGCACAGAACGGCGTCGCAGAAAGGAAAAAAAAATCGCTCTTTAATAGAAATGACAAAAGCCTTGCTAATAAACTCTAAATTACCGAAAGGATTCTGGGCTGAAGCAGCAGCTACTGCTGCATATCTTCAAAATAGGTTACCAACTAAAGCCACAGATAGAACACCATATGAATTGTGGAATGGTAGAAAACCAAACTTAAGTCACTTACGAGTATTTGGCTGTAAAGCATTTTATTATGTGAACAAACAAAAACGGTGTAAATTCGACAACAGAGCTGAAGAAGGAATATTCGTAGGATACGATTTACGAAGTAAGGGATACAGGATGTATGTAGGTGGAAGAAAAATAATAGTAAGTAGAACTGTTAAATTTTCAGAAAACTCGTCTTTACCTGACAAACTTGCAGAAAATAATGCTGAAGATTTAGAATTAATTCACTTCAATAACTCGCAAGATGATGAAGAAAATAATGAAGAAACATCTCTTGGCGATGATTTTACAGAAGATTCAAAAAAGTTCCGAAGAGTTAATTAAATGTGAAGAAAATGTAGAAAGAAGGGTTTCTAGCAGATCAACCAAAGGGGTCCCACCGGAAAGATTCTCTTATAAAGCAGAAGACGAAGAATCAATCTTACTTAAAATTAAAGATCCAGAAAGCTTTGAAGAAATTCTAAACTTACCAAAACGTGAACAAGAAGCTTGGATCAAGGCTATGCAAGAAGAAATACATTCTCTAAAAGAAATGAAACCTATAAACTGCAGAATTACCCCCAGGAAAACATGCAGTAGGCAGCAAATGGGTTGTTTAAGACAAAATATGATGATGAAAACTGGTAAAAATATAAAATACAAAGCACGCTTAGTAGCCAAAGGATTTACTCAAAAATACGGCAGTGATTATGATGAAACTTTTTCACCAGTAGTGAAACACACTACGATAAGAGTTTTCTTAGCATGGGCAGCGTATAATAATAATGCCAAGGTACATCAACTAGAGTTAAAACAGCTTTTTTGTATGGCAACTTAAATGAAGAAATATATATGGAACAACCAGAAGGATTCGTGGTTCCGGAAGAAAGACATAAAGTTTGTAAATACAGAAGTCGATTATGGTCTCAAACAAGCAGCTAGGTGCTGGAATGCAGAAATTGAAAATACACTGAAGAATCTGGGGTTCAGTCAAAGCAAAGCAGATCCGTGTCTTTTCACAAAAGTGGTTCGTGATAAAAGAATTAATTAATAGTGTATGTTGATGACATCCTAATAAGTTCTACAGAAGAAGGACTAATTCTTAAAACAATTAATGATTTAAAGAAACGTACCAAATAATGCATCTTGTGTGAAGCTAAATATTTCTAGGCATGGAAATAAATCGCAAGGAAGATGGAAGTTATCTCTTATCACAGAAAAATAAAATAAATCAACTTGTCAAGCAATTTCAACTTGAAGAAGCGAAACCCGCCAGCACACCAATGGAAACGAACTATTATAACCTAAACAAGGAAGAAAATCTCCTAACTTCAAATGATAAATTTCGCCAAGCTATTGGAAGTCTTTTGTATATATCGTCTATCACAAGACCAGATATCACAGCTTCGACTCACATACTCAGCAGAAGGTGTAATAATCCACGTCAAAAGGACTGGAATGCTGTTAAAAGAATCAT